TAAAAAAAATGTAGTTTTATTTGCACTTTACCTTTGAGGATAGATGACGGTGGAGGTGTAAACTGGTGGCGGGAGAAGGGAAATGATACTAAAACTTAACTTACATAACATAATGTAACAATAACTTAAAAATAACTTAGAAAAGATAAAAAAATTAGTGTTGTTTTATATTTATACTTTTTTTTTTAAATTTTTATTCACTGGTTTTTGCTTTCTTTCCTTCACTTCCACTGGATAGAGGTCACTTGGTAAAATATCTATCCAAAGAGGTTTGGCTTTGCCTACTTTTTAAAATGTTTCTAAAATGACTTGGGCAAATGTCATTACTCCGAGCAGCAATATGGCCAGTGTGAACCTTGTCGGAATGTTTCTTTTCAATAAAATCAGTCACTTTCTGATAATACATCAAGATTTCCTTTATCAAGCGAGATACTTCCATGACGAAGCAAATATGTGGACTGAGACCAATGAACAGAAGTGAATAAAAAATGGCGCTGCAAACTAATGTAACATCGTATGGTGAGTTTTTGTTTGTATCGTGGAGCAAAGATACGTTTGAATTTCATGTCGTATCCTGAAAATTTCGTATGCTGGGACGTTCGTATCCTGAGGTACCACTGTATATTCTTTCTTATATATATAAGAAAGAATTTGATCAAATATCAGGTAATTTTGCATCTAACTTCTGTGAAATTCAATTTTAACATTATCACTATAGTTATAACAGTAGTAGCGAAACAAAATCAAAAACATTCATTATATGCCAAAGTGATTTCTGTATAATAAATATTTGTTCTTTGTTTTAATAGAAAAACATATTTTTTTTAATTAGTAATTTATAAATGAAAATCTGAAGTGATAAGATTATGCTGAAAATACAAAAGTAATTAAAATTTATCATTCATACAAAAGCTAGTAATATTCGTGTTACTTCAGAACAATATTATCAAACGAAAACCTTGACTGAATAAAAAATAAGTTAATAATTTGTAAAAAAAAGTTTAAAAAATATCCATTTTATGTACAACTTTATATTATTTTAGTTAATGGTATATAAAATAGATTAATATTAAATGGAAAAAAATCATGAATAAGAATTTAAATTCATTAAAACATACACTATTTTAAATTTCATAGAATTAGATATAAACACCTCAAAAAATATTTTTTATTGTATTACAAAACTTATAATCTCTAAGACAATTATTTGAAATGATTATTTATTTCAAGTTCCAGATAATTAATTGGAATTTAATATTTCTTTGTTATGAATTATTAATAGGATTCAGAAAAATATTCAGCTCAAAATTTATTTTAAGTTTATTTAAAATTCTACAAGCATTTAAATTAATAATAATAATAATAATAAGCTACAAATAACTTTTATTACATCATTGAAATCTGATATGAAATAGATGAAATTTTATTGTTGTAAATCATTTAAGCAATAAAAATTATAATAAAAGTTTGAGTCACATTATGAATGAAATAAATTTATAATCCCTAATTTGGAATAAAATATAATATAGGAATTCAGTTTACTATATATAGAATTTTTACACAGAAATCAAATAAAGATAATATATATTAAATAAAAGAATTTGTTAAGTTAGATGTATTAAAGATCTGTTAAAGATGTATTAAAAATCTGAAATTTTGTTTTTATGCTAAAATAACTATAAAAATCTATATAGATTAATTAAAAGAAGAAAGATTTAATATGACTGGTACTTGATATCTAGTAAAAAATATTAAAATATCTTTTTATATTGACTATTTCAATTTTTAGTCTCATTAAAATATTAGTCTTTTATATGTAAAAATAAGTCAATACTGAAACACAAAAAATAAAGTTTAATGGCATTCAAAAACATACAGAAAAAGGCATGAAGTAACTCAAACTCTTCCTAGAATAATCAAATAAAAATAATTATTTTAACAGATACATGGAGTGCAATTTCTGTCCTGTAACAATGAGACGAGTTCTAAACACCTTGTTAAATCTTTATTTTCTAGCATGTGCTTCACTCCACTGTTACCATCTTTCAACTACTTGATTCTCCCTGCTGCTGTCATTGACATATCCTGTACAACATCACTACATCTCCAACAAAAGTAAAATTTGATTTCTTATTTTACAGATATAAATTGATTTAAAAGGATCCTGCACAAAACCTTATTAGTTACTATAGGCACAAAGTCAAAAAAATGTTGAGTATCCAAGATGAAAAATCAGTGAAATTTAAGCATATGTTGTAAAGCTCTAAATCTTTTTCAGTTGAAAATATATCATTTTATATTTTGAGATGTTATTGAAGCTTGTCATGTTATTAGTACTTTCATCTGGAGTAATCATTCATTATGTGATAAAAAAGACTCATTCTGCTGAGATTTAATAATGGTTGAAAACGAACTCAGTTAGGACATTTTGAGGCAATATACTCAGCACTTTTTTTGTCATAGAATGTAATGGAACGGCGTTCCACCACCTTTTTTTGATATGTTTTAAAAGTTTTAAGAGAATTTTTGAAAACTTGATTTTTGGTCCGCATTGAATCGCTCTGTTGATCATAGAAGATAGGCAACAAAAGTTTTGGTCCTGGTCCTGCTTGTGTGCTGAATCTTGTGTACGATGCATGTAATATTTTTTAGTAATGAAATGAGTGTTCCACCACCTTTTTTTTCCCCCAAAAAAGCACTGAATATACTTATTATTGATTAAATAAGTACTTGTTTTCTCAAAGTTTCAATCATGTTGACAAATGCCATATTGTTTATTTTTGGCTTTATCTTATCCATCTGAGATATCAATAGAATTAAGAAGAAAAGAATTGATGATTGTTCTTTATTAACATTTATTATTAACTTTTATAATTCTGAAATATTGACAGTTTGATATGGCTTTCAGAAATTATTTGCATTGTTATGTTTACAATGAAACATTTCTTCCATGGCAAATAGCTTGAATAAATGTAGATGAAAATGCTGAAAAACACATTACTGTTCAAAGATGCACACTTCACAACACATGCACAAATGACATGGTTTTTGCATCTTTGATACTCAATAACTTAAAAAATATCCATTTTTGACTTTATGGCTGTAAAGACTTTTAATCAGGAATACACAATATCAAAGATTTAGCCAAAGCAACTGGGACCCATTTCCTATATGATTTGTGCAGGGTCCTTTGTATTTTCACAAAACTTTATTTATTGTTTTGCTATTATCTCTTATTTTAATTTGAGGATATATCATAACATTAAACTGACATTATTTTACTACATGACAAAGACAAATTGAGATCTAAACTTATAGTTTTATAACACAAAAGATCTGTTTTGTGACAATTATAAACTTTTTATTATAATTATATGAAATTTCACATTCTTTTTCTACCTTATTGTGAGATTATACAGTTTCAACTGTATTTCTAGAAATAAAATCAACTTATGATACTAAGCTTAAATGAAATATGATGACTCACTTAATGACTGGAACCAATTTGAAGTGTAAAAGTAGGAGTTTAATGCATTCTTTTTTCTACATTTATTGTTATAATGAATCAATTGTTATTTATTTATTTTCTATAATTTTTTAGTACTCTGTTAGGATTTCTAGTATTCTTTAAACAGAATACATAATGTGTATTTATTTTAAATTAACTTGGTAATTTGGATATTTAAATTTTAAGCTATGTCCAATATCATAACTTGGAAGATAACTACTTACGTGAAATCTCATTACATAATTCATTTAACAGTTTCTCAAATTTGATATGAGCAGTAGTTTTCTTTTCTTCAGGTAATTTTATTTCTACTAATCTGATTCCTTTTTCATCTAACCATGTCTCAAATTTTTTCATTCCNGAAATATTTGAGATCAGATCTAGTGATCTGCATCCTAGAGAACTAGTCTTACCGACTAGTGCCCATAAGTGGCGTAGATTGATCCTGCGTCCTTGGCTACTCTCACATTTATCTTAAGAAACAAAATCCATTGACCATTTTTCTTTGAGAAGCAATGATTTTAAGGATGCAATCTTTGTTCACTGGAATTTCTCTATGAATTGTCAGATGTGCCAATCCATTCAATCTTGCTTGTTCAATTGTTTTGAAAATAAGTTTGAAGTCTTTAAAGTGAAAATGATCTTTCAACAAGAATAGATTTAGGATATGCATAAAGTATGGCTCCATCTCCCTTCTGGGGTTAGTAATTTATTTTAATATTATAATATTTTTTTAGGCATTCATAAATGCAAATTGAAGTGTAAGAAGGTGCATTGCTGTTATTTTGCAGTTATTTATTTCTTAGTTATTTCTAAGATAAACGACTTCCAACAACTTAACACTGCGTTGAAAAATAACATCTTAGTTATTTCTAAGATAAACGACTTCCAACAACTTAACACTGCGTTGAAAAATAACATCTTAGTTATTTCTTATTTCTGACATTATTAAATTATATGTAATTTCTTTTAATTAATAATTTAAATAATTATCTTAAGTAGAATATTATGTAGAATATAAAATATCTTTCAAAATTAATTCTCTATCAAAATTTTATATAAATTACAGTGATACCTCAGTTTTTGTCGATAATCCGTCCAAAAACAATCAGTGAAATCCAAAACTGACAAAAACCAAGGCAACTATTTCCATATGAATCAATGTAAATCCAATTAATTTGTTCTAGATATTCCAAAATAGATACCAAAAACACGTTTTATAGAGAATAAAAATATAGTGTTTAATACTAAAAACAATAAAAAATTAATGTAAAAAGAATATAAAAGAGGCTGATTTCAGCAATCTTAATGTTGCTCTTGTATTTTTCAATGATTTCCTTTTTCAACTCCATCATGTTTCTAGCCTTCTTCTTCAAAGGGCTGCTGACTCTGAAAACATTCTTTGGTCCCATGATGGAGCTAAAAGGAAAGGAAAGCAATGGAATTGTTTGGCTAGAGGTATGGGGTAATAATGCTTACACAATGAGAAACTGCCACACTGAGCAGGAAAACGCATGGGTTGCCTTTTGTTTTTGCAAAATTAGCAGTGAGCTCACATGGGCACACTGACGAAATCTAAGGCAACCACTGAAAACTGAGGCAAATTTTTCACAGAAAAATTTGACAATAACCAAAGTCAACAAAAACCGAGGTATTACCATATTAAAATCAATGAAATATAAATGAACTGTGATTATCATAAACATTTTCATAATTTTAATAAGTAAAAAATTGAAGAACATTCATTATACCTCTGTAAGCATTTCTTTGCAATTTTTCAAATTTTTCATTTTTCGATTTTTCACATTCAATCCATTTATTAATTAGTTGTTGAAATTTCTTTTCTCGAATATATTTATATTCATCGCTTAATGCTTTTTCAAATTTTTCAATGTCATTTTGTTGTAATAATTCAATTTCCTATTTAAAAAATATTTTTAATTAATTACTCAATACAAATACTATTTTGAGTTATACTATTTATATATTTAGACCTTAGAAAATATGGTGATTTTAATGTGACAGCTATGAGTGTTCACTATTGCAATTAGACGAAAATGTGCCCATTCCCCCATAGGATCTTCCATGACCACAACAATATCCTTTTTAACAATGAAGGTTAATGAAAAGGTCAGTTGGATTTTATTGTCAGAGTCAAGCAGCTTGCTTGTGGCCTATCTTATACAATAATAAATGCATCAAGTTTCTTAGTACTTCTACACTGAGCCATAGAATATCCCAACTGCTATGACAGTGCACACGCATTACTGGAACCTGTAACATTATTCATTGACTATTCGACAAGAGCTGTGATAACATCCTCAACTTGTAAAGTGATAGGTTTATGTTCTTGACTGGGTTGAGCTCCCAGATGCAGTGGCAGATCTGTAAAAAATTTCTGGGAGCATTACATCTGATAGTAAAAAATTTAAAAGAGAAAAAGAAGCACCACATATAACTGTCCAATAATACTACATTTTGTTAATGAAGATATTATGTTCATTTTAAAATAAATGTACATAACAAAATTGGATAATTACATACTTTTTAAGATGATCACTAAATATAAATCACTCTAAGATAATAATTGTGATAATCAGCAAATATAAAAACAAAAAAGAATGAGGTGTTTATGTGAAAACCTGAGGACCCTAGGCCTCATTTAATAATTTTTATTAAATATGCTTAAATATAGACACGAAATATTACTTCGTTTTTGTGAAAAAAATATTGTTTTAGACGTGGGAAAAACCAGATAACAAATGTTATTTCCTTTCATCGAAGAGAACATCCTCTGTTTTTCCTATCTGGTTAAAAATCTCGCTCAGATGGGAAATGGTTACCCCTCATTCATCCCCCTCTCGTCCGTTCTCACGAAAGAGTTACTGGACAATGATTGGACGAAAATTTTGAAATAAAAGGGGAAATTAGTCAGAATTCGGGGAGTTCTTCGACAGATCCGAAGCATCCAAACTCCACGCAGTTTTCCTCCTGATGGCCAACGCCCAAAACGGAGTCCGATAGACTAAGTCCCGAGTCTACACTTAGAAGAAGTGATATTTTTATATTTTGTGCACGAATTGATCTCCCATATGAAAATAATATGAACTCTATCTACAAGGTGTCCTATACCTACAGAAACGAAGACGACGACAACTAACAGGTCGTATGTTTAGAATCCTTTTGTGAGCTCTCTCTCTCGATCGCGCATTAGCATAGAAAAGGTCGTAGCCTCTAGCTTGTCGCTAAATGGTTGTAATCGAATTTTTTGTATTCGTTTGTTTGAGATTTATTAAATTTACTCTTGTTTTATTTTATAAGAATGTCTCCTNTGTTGTAATAATTCAATTTCCTATTTAAAAAATATTTTTAAATTAAAAATAGTAATATAGATATTTTTAAACCTATTAAATATAGTGAATGGTTGTGTCTTTAATCCGAAAAAATATCTCTCTCAGTAGACTATCTTACAGCAAGTCAGGTCCAGAAACTCTTTTATTGTATTTTCAATTCATATGCATTTCGAACTGGTTTCATTTTCCAGTTCCTCTTCAGTGCTCTATAATTACAATTACAGAATTTTTAGAGATATTCAGTGCTCTAGAACTCGGGAAAAAAAAAGAATTGTGTAAAGTTCTTAAAGGTACTAGTAATAATGTTTCTGTTGTGTTATTTGACATCTCTATTCATTTTAATTTTAATTTGTATTTTTGTAAACTAAATATCGGTAATTAAAATTCTGTAATTGTAATTCTAGAGCACTGAATATCTCTAATAATTCTGTAATTGTAATTATAGAGCACTGAAGAGGAACTGGAAAATGAAACCAGTTTAAAATGCATATGAATTGAAAATACAATAAAAGAGTTTCTGGACCTGACTTGCTGTAAGATAGTCTACCGAGAGAGATATTTTTTTGGATTAAAGAGACAACCATTCACTGAACGAATATACAGCTACAATTAGTAAATTCAACCTATTAAATATATACTGTATTTTTGAAAAATTTTAACCTAATGACATTTCTATCAATAAAAGCACTAATTCATTCTTGATTTCTCTTATTATTCATAAAGAAAATTAAGTTTTTCTGTATTTCTAAAATGAATCATCTAAAGTATATTTTGTTTTTATTATAATATGAAAATTTTCAAATATTACAATCATACATTATGGTTTATATTGAAATATGTACTCAAACAATTTGGGAAATTTTTAACTGTTTCTACTCTGCAGGCACTAAGATCTTTTTTGCACATCAATCATGACTTCAGTCACACCCATAATATGCAGCTAAAGGGAAAAATCCAATAGAACTAGGTCAAATGACAGTCTCTCATGAAAATTTCTCATCTGATTCAAATGCACCTAGAACAGCAGGCTAATACTTTTTACCATCTTGGTTATCCAGCCAGCAAATGAAGGAATATTACGATATAAGATTCATTTTATAATGAAATTATGAATTTCAAACTAGAATAAGTTGTTTTGGCATGATCATTATAGCTAGCCATAACAATTTTTTTTTTACTACTACAATATTGCATAAATTTGAGCTTTTGGTAGAATGTCAATCTATGAATGTGTTATCAATAGTAAAGATCATAATTGTAATCTTGTATGTATATATTTATTGAACATTCTCAAACCAGAAGAGTCAGTGACATACCTGGGGTTCACAATTGCTCTGGATATTATGAAAACAAGCTACCAGTGACAAAAGAAAAGATTTTCTTTTTCTTTTAATTCTTTCTGCTTTACAGTCACAAGAGGGTCTTTTTAGCAAGCCCATTCTAGGTAGGTTTAGCCAGATCAACAATGGGGCAACCAGATGGTGAGAGATGGGGCCTGACATCTTGAAAGACCCCCAACAAGATTCCTGGGAATTTTCGACCTGTCCAGATTCGACCCCAAATCTCCCAGAGCAGTAGGCTACCAGCTTGGTCATCCAGCACAAAGAAGAAAGTAAAAATAAAAAGAATTGGAAGTTCAGGTTGAGAGCTGGAGAGATATGGAAAGAAAGAAGGAGCAAGAGAAAAAGAGTTGAATGAAGGTAGTTTGTATTGTGAATTGTTGAGCATATTTTCTTATTTGATTGTCCCATATATACATATATATATATATTATTTTACTTGTAGAACCTCCTTTTCTATTTGTGCATCTTGTAGGAAAAGATGCTGCAAAATGCACAAATAATGTTGAGTGCTCATGCTTCATCCAGCAATTAATTTTTTCTTTAATTAGAACAACCTATTGTTCTTCTATCCTCTGTTCTGAATTCCTGGTTTTTTGCTAATTACAAATTAATAAGAAGGCTTTTTGCATATTTCTAACATTAATAAATTTAAACACTATTTAAATAATAAAATTAATAATCACTCTTATTTTTGATAAAACCATTGATTTCAACAGATTCCTGCTAACAATTAATTTAACTTTATGTATTCTATATTTTTGTGGATAATCATATTTTAATCAATACATAAAATAATTTGAAACTATTATATATATTTCTCAGTATTCATTAACTATAACATTTCAATATGTTGATAAAGTATAAAAAATAATTTAAAACATTGTCAATACCTTTTCTCGAATAAGCCAATCTTCTCTTTCTTGCCTTTCAATCAATTTGAAACGTTTTTCTAAAGCCAATTTTCTATTTTGCTTCTCTAAACATAATAATAATTCTTCTTCAGCTTTTCTTTTACGTAGCCTGTCAATCATATCAATTTCTAACTGGCCAGCAGGTAAGCCATCACCTTTTAAAAATAAAAGCAAGTAACAAATCATTAATTCCAAAAACTTTTAAAGTCAGCAATATAGTTTTTGCTACACTATAAATTTCCAAATACAGTAGAGCCTCGAAAACTCGGCACTTGATAACCCGGCACTCTGGATAACTCGGCCACACCCTGACAGGGCAAAAAAATCCTTAGTTAATTAATTTTCATGATAAAGACAGCTTTATGCCTCAAAAAGTGTTTTTTTTTAGGTCTGTCTTATCAGGTAAATTACTGTACAGTGTATTCATTAATTTTCATTTTCATGTAGTAAAGGCTCTATGCCTTCATAAAAGACGTACTTTTCCTTTGTTTAAGGGTATTTGGGCAGTTTATTCTCTGTTGTATTCTCAAGTAAACAATACATACAANCGGTAATGATAGATAATTCACCCCGAGAAACAGTCGTAGGTATAGGAAATGCAACCCCTGAGTTTAAACTAAGAGGAAATAAATTTAGCGCTACGTGTAGAATAGTGAGAGATACATATCCATGTGACGGAACCATAGGAAGGGATATACTAGAGAGAGAAAATATCAAAATAGACCATAAAGGAAATAGATTAATTTTGCCTGATGGCAAAAGCATTCATTTTTGTTCAGCCATACCAGTATCATACTATAAGCGAGAACCTAGGAGATACAGTTATAATGCGAATCACGGGGGGAAATACTATAGAGAGAACTATATAAGAAGCATACAAGCATATTCCGAGAGGAAACACTATTCGAAAAATACTTATGTTAAAAATAATAGAAAAGCTGAGACAAGCATACGTGGATCAATTCCTATAAAGTCAAAAGGTATTGAAGCTGCTAGACAACTCCAGGTTAGGGAAAAGGAACATGCAAATAAACATATGCGAAGGGCATATAAGGGAGATAAGAAGGAAAAGAAAATTCTAAGAAAATCCCCGCCAAAGACCTATGATACTCGCGAGAGAAAGATAGATAATAGCTGTAGTCAAGAAGATACCTGTTACTCAAATACGGTTAAAGGGATAGATAATGAAAATACGCAGGATAATATCTTCAAAGAAATGCTTCATCTTTTAAACAATACAAGGATTAAATTTAAATCGGTTTTCGATACCTCGAATTGATAGTCGGAAATAGAACCAAGGATCCGGTAATTCCAAGTAGAGATAAGGATTTGATTCGTAAACATACAGATAATAGAAAAGGGGGAGTAAGTCACTTCGGGAAGGAAAGGAATTAAGTTATATCCTTTGTAATACTTCCTATATACATCATTATGTTATTAAATTAGCATAGAACTTACATAAGAATATTAAAGCCGAGTAAAATAAAAAACAAAGCATAATATATTCGCTAATGAGATTCTGAATATACCTATGTTTTTCTAAATATGATTAGAATAATTATCGATAGAAAGAAAATGGGTATCTATATTTAGAAATAGTAAGGTTGTATTACTATTCTGACCCTTAAGTCTTACCAACTTCCGAGTGTCAAGAGTAACTCAGTAAATTTAGGAATAATTAACCTATTAAGTTTAAGATAGCAGTAATAAAATAATAAGCTAAGGTTAAATAAAATATACCTCACGATAATCATCGACTTGAAGATAAGGGAGTTCCCCTTTATATTACAACAATTGAAATATTTTCAACAAATAAAATATATCGATATGATTTAGGATTTGAAATTATCATGAGAAATCTAGAATTTACGATGCAAGAATTTCATACACAAATAATTGAATTAAGAGAAGCTATTGACGTTTTAGAGCAAGGAAAATTAAGCTCGTATTTTATCTCAAAGGAAGTGATGTATCGTACGTTACGAGAAATACAACCACAACTTCCGGAAGGTTATTCATTGATAGAGCAAGTCAAAGTTGACACTCTCTTTAAATTTTACCAGTGGATTACTACAGTTGCTATCGCACTTCCAGGAAAATTAAGAATTTTCGCAAAAACGCCATTGAAAACGCCTAGTGGATATTTCGATGCTTACGAAATTTTGGGATTACCTACATATATTCCTGTATTGAAAGCTTATGCATATTTTAAGACTGAATATCCCATTTTAGCATTGTCAATGGATCGTCAATCGTACATGTTGTTACGTCATCACGAATTGGCTGTTTGCCAAATATCACAGTTTGCTGTTTGTTCACCGGACGTTCCGATATTTCGAGCTCCACATCAGAGCTGCGAATATTCTTTATACATCGGAAATGATCAGAAGGTAACAGAACTTTGTTCCAAAGAAATTGTAAAGGAATTTTATCCAATTTTTAGAAGAATAGACAAGCAAGGAACATGGGTATTTTCTACACCCTCTACATTAGTATTAGTAGTGAAATGTTCTGCTAAACAAAATAACTTGCATTCATTACCTTCTAATATAAGTAAATTGAATAATGTTGGAATCATAAGATTGCCAAATACATGTATAGGATACTTACCTGGAATTATCCTCACTTCACATTTTCACATGAGATCAACTGTTCACACAAGAAGCAGTCCTAAGTTTATTATACCTCCAATTGAAACAATATTTTCCAAGATGGAATTAGAGAAATTGCAAGAGAGTATAAATACTACAGAAAATCCTAAGAGGAATAAAGAGAATTCTAAGAAACAAAAAGATGATGACATTAAGGTAGCAGAAAAATCATACGAGCAAATGAAGAAAGATTTGGATAGATTATTGAAAGAAAATGAAGATCTTTTTATATCAAACACTCCAACAATTCCAATCACATACATATGGATTATCCTTGGAAGTATAGGAATATTAATTCTACTTATCTGCACATATTATATAGTCAAGCATATTTGTTGGAAACGAAGATTTGAGAAGAGGATCAAGGAACTGTCACAACAGGACATTCCACTTCAAGAAATTCCTCAAAGAAATAATGCAGAAGAAGAAGAAACGGAAATAGTCGAACCTGTTGGAAGCTCAACTGAACAAGCTTCAAGCTCAACACAGACAAAGAAGCACTTTGTTCGAACATATCGACTTTAGTTCGACCGTATCGACTTTAATTTTAATTTGCTTTTTGAGATGATAATTTCATTCTTGATTGAAAATTTTTGATTATATAAGGATCGATTTTAGCTACATATATCTTTAGTTTGTAAGTACCTTTCCTAATAATAACAAAAAGCTTATTTAAAGGAATGTACACCCCACTCAAATTGATAAACTAAAGTGATTGATTAGAATAGACATAATATTGTATAGAATAGTCTAGATATAAGACTTAGAGTAGTATTAAGAGAGAGAGAGACATTAATAGAGATATGTATTTGTTAACATACTACCTTTTAAAATGAACAATATTTTGGTGAAAAAGAACTTTGCCCAAATGGATTTAAATGACCGGGGAGTCATAAAATACTTAGTGAACTCAACCACCTGAACTTTTGTGGTTATGTGAAATGAAATTTTAGCAGAAAAAGAAGTGTGTCAACATACAGGAAGAAGACACATTATATCATTTTGAACTGCAAAGTGAACTTTGAACTGTTAGCAGGTGCTTTTTGAAACAAGAAGACATCACATGATCTTCTAATATACCTGAATTTGTGCAACTATAAGAAGTCAGCCAACAGAGGTGCTGCCATAGAGACTCTCAGCAACAGAGAGGTGCATTCGAAACCAGTGACGAACTATGTCCACTTTTACCGTCAATTCCAGACGAAGACACCTGTGTTCATTGTGTTTATTTTAGTAATATTATTAATCTGATGAATTGTTTATTATATTATTTCCATGTATTTCAATTTTGAATTTAATTTGAATTATTGTATACTTTTATGATTTTATTATTATGTATAACGCAATTTTTAGAGAGAGAGAGAGAGAAATTCGAACTTATGTATTGCAGTGAAAAATCACGCCTTCTTTAAATGTAGTGTGATTTTTGAAGATAAGGGAGTAATGTGAGATCCGAAAGGCCCTGGGTCTAAGTTATTAATTTTATTAATATGTTTAAAATATCGACAAAATATTACTTCATTTTGTGTGAAAAAACTAGTGTTTTAGATGTGGGAAAAATAGATGACAAATGTCATTTCCTTTCATTCGAAGAGAACATCCTCTGTTTTTCCCGTATCTGGTTAAAAATCTCGCTCAGATGGGAAATGGTTACCCCTCATTCATCCCCCTTTCATCCGTTCTCACGAAAGAGTTACTGGACGATGATTGGACGAAATTTTGAAATAAAAGGGGAGATTAGTCAGAATTCGGGGAGTTCAGCGACAAAGTTCTTCGACAGATCCGAAGCATACAAACTCCACACGCAGTTTCCTCCTGATGGCCAACGCCCATAACGGAGTCCGATAGACGAAGTCCCGAGTCTACACTTAGAAGAAGTGATATTTTTATATTTTGTGCACGAATTGATCTCCCATACGAAAGTAATATGAACTCTATCTACAAGGTGTCCTATATCTACAGAAACGAAGACGACAACTAACAGGTCGTATGTTTAGAATCATTTTGTGAGCTCTCTCTCTCGAACGCGCATTAGCATAGATTTAGTCGTAGCCTCTAGTTTGTCGCTTAAATGGTTGTAATCGAATTTTTGTATTCGTTTGTTTAGTTTTATTAAATTATACTTATGTTTATTATACAGAATGTCTCCTCAATTCATTCCGAATCAGATCGTTATCGCGTGTTTGTCCGCGCCTCTATAAATTGACAAACTGGTGTCGGGAACCTGACGAAGGAAGAAGGTGAATTCGCCATCACCAACTTCCGCTCTAAATTATAATATAACCGTAAAGCCCTCCACACTCGTTCCCTACGACGGGGAAAGGCCGTTCTTTGGACGACTGAGAGCTGGTCTTACCGACTAGTGCCCGTAAGTGTCGTAGATTAAGACCTACGTCCTTGGCTACTCTCACAATAATAATATATATTTGTTATTCACATTTTGAACTTTTTAAACGCATATATTTATATAAAGTGCCTTTGTGGCCCGCTGAACATACCTAAATTTCTAATTTGGCCTATTAGGAAAAAAGGTTGGACAACCCTGAACTAATGATTTCATATTATCAGTCTTAACTAATACATTACATTAACTTTTTTAATCATTATTTGCTCACAATACAATAGTTTAAACTGTTGGCATTATGCTAGCTTTTGCTGACTACAATACCAGATTAATCATAATTATTATTAATAATTCACAAGTCTTCAAATCATATTTTAAATTGTTTTAATATGTCTGTATATTGTCAGAGTCAAAGAAACTAGAACTTCTTCTAAATATGGTTTTACTTTGCATAATGCTATTGGCAACCCAAAGCGATTAAAATTAGTAGTCAAAAAACTATTGTATATATATTTAGAATAAATCAGCAAAATCTCATTAGTAAATTCAGATGATTATGTTTAATATAAATTGGTAATTACAAAAATAGCATCTAACCTGTAATATTTCTTTATTTAATGCTTCATTTTGAGATCCCAGATAAAGAAAAGGTAATATTCGAGTTGGTCCTTGATTTGCTATAGGGAGACAAGGTTGGGATAATGAAGTTAAAGGAGCACATTTTCTAGTTTTATCTTCACACAAATTAGGATAAGCAGCCTGAAATTCAAGAAATCCACCTACACAAAAACAAAGTAATTAATTAAGTCTAACAAACAATTTAAATTCTTACAGAACATTTCAAATTATTGAAACTTGAAATATGATATATGAAATAAATTGTTTTGTATCTATTACAGTAAAACCTCGAAAACTCGGCTCTCGATAACCCGGCACTCTGGATAACTCGGCCACACCCTGGCAGGGCAAAAAAAATCCTTAGTTAATTAATTTTCATTATAGATAGCTTCATAACAGTATAAGAGCTCTCATAAAGTATTTTTCTGAGGTCTGTCTTATCAGGTAAATTACTGTACAGTGTATTCATTAATTTTCATTTTCATGTAGTAAAGGCTCTATGCCTTCATAAAAGACGTACTTTTCCTTTGTTTAAGGTTATTTGGGCAGTTTATTCTCTGTTGTAAGTAAACAATACATACAAGTACAGTATAGTATTTTCTGAGGAAACACTAATACTTATTCTTTTTTTAACCCCAATTCCCGATAACCTGGTATTTTCACAAACTCGGCAACCCTTCGGTCCACATTAGGCCGAGTTTTCGAGGCTCTACTGTATTATAAATCAATGTTCAAAACAAATACTATAATATATCATTTTGATGTACATATAAAATATACAATATAAATAATTTACACTGTAATAATGAATGGCATTTAATAATGTAATCAATATAAAAATGCAAAAAATGGCCTAATAAAATTCTGTAAGATTAAAAATACATGTTACATGAATTTTATGACTGATTATACAAAATATTTAATAAAATATAGGATTATTTTACAAAATTATTAGAAAATTTGCAATATACAGTATATAAAATAGCAAATATAACAATAATTCTTAAGAAATATATATTTTAAAATATAAACAATATTTACATATATTTATCAAATGTTTCAAGCATACTATCTATCTTTGTTAGAGCAATAAGTAATACATTATTCTCACTCTATACATTGACAATTAACTAACAATAGTTTTTGTATGAATCTAAAATACTTTCATAGTGACTGTTTTGTTTTTATGTCTCAGTCATTTCAACTACGAAAAACATAATTAATGCCAAATGTTTAATATTTTAACTCAACAATTTACTCCAATATTAATTTTAAATAGGTATATTTTTGCATACCTTATTGCAGAGATAAAGTTTACTAAATTGTAAAACCATGTAAATAAATATCTCTAATAAATAAATACACAGTGTGAATGAGACAAAGAAAATGGAAATTGGAATTTATGAGTCATTGAGCCATTTAATCTGGTGTACACAAGAATTTCATTCTCTTTGCATTCATGATTAGAATATTTTGTTCTAAATACAATTTAGTGTGCAGTTTCCAATGCATATAATTGTGGTGGGGAACTTGATAAAATTACTTATACAAAACCCGTAACAACAATAAAAGGGACGATACAACCTAGGTCGCATATAGTATTCACCAAATACCTTTTCTTCTTTTGCATAACAACTCCAAACAGTCTTGTAAATGCACCAAAATTGAAAATGAATAGTTCATCCAGTTGAATCTAGTCATAATTAGTTTATAGTCTGTCTACCATTGAAATATTGCAAACAATATCTGATGAAAATGGATTCATGTCTTGCTTCATTATTTTGCTTCTACATAGATTCTCATACACCTGCATGTTAACTCATTCTCAGCCACAGTCCAGTCACTTCATCTCCAAAGGGAACACATCAAAAGAGAGTTTACGAATGCCAGGGAAGGTCTTAAATACCCCCATCGAAGGTTAGTAGGAGGAGTAAGCAGCTACCTCTAACATGAACCAATTCGTGAAAATTAAAATAAAAAAAAGCAAAAACAACATTAAAAAAATATAAAACAAAAAAATGGTGTGACAATACCACAAGTGCTTGCTGTATCAAATGTTTTGTCTTGCTGGGAAGAGAGATAAAATAAAGCAGCTCATTGTATTGAATTCTTGTATGTCAAGTAATCATAAATTAGTTTTGCACTACAATAGTTATGTAACCAGAGGATCAGCACCTCTTTAGTGCCTCATCAGGACTGACACCACCATGTCTTGTTTGACATGGGAGCTGTGACTGTGAGTTGATTTGGATTAGAAAGTAGGTCACACAAGCAGCCACGTGCGCAGACATTCGGATTCAAGATGGAGACCATGAGACAGCGAGTAGGAAGTGACTCACGCAGATACTAGGTTAACAAAACAAATAATTGTTTATTTCTAAAGGAAAATACATATTATATATTTTATATTGTTAAACAAGTTATAATGAATCAAGCTAAAATAGTTCTAAATACCACCACTTTTCCTGAGAGAGAGAGAGTTTACATTGGTTTGTGAGTCAATAAATACCTGGAGTTGAGGATGTCTACAGTGATGATAAATTTCGTTGAGACTAAGGAGACCAGGGTCTTGTCCATTATCATTCTGGAAGCTTATCGGAAAGTTTTGAATTGGGAAAGTCTGGTTCAAGATCGTTGGGAAGGTTCGTCCTCACTGGCGCTGTTGGTTGCGGGTGAAAATTTGATCAAGTAGAATTTGGCCCAGACATAGGAAAATTTGAGGACATTAATTCTATAGGAATGGGTGACGACTATCGTTAGGGACCAGGTGGCGACTTCTTGCCTTGGGGAGAATTAGGTGGTGACTGACTCTTCGACCATCAATTATGAAATTAGAATGATATTGCCCAGCCAAGAGGTCAACAGACCATGGGAACGTGTCACCCTCACTGCCGAGAAAGAGTAAGTGGAAATTTTCTCAGGTAGTAGATAACAACAATTATTGAGCACGTATGATGGCATCAACAACCAATTTTTGTTAAAGTTCAGATTCTCACAGTTACATAAAAAGATTTAAAGTATTTACTACTTTCTCTTTGGTTAAAATAAAAATAAAATCAATTTTATGAAATTATTTATTTCAGGGAAAATTTCATGTGATTACTCTATATTATAAATTTAAAGAATTCTGATGTGTTAGAAGAGAAATTAATATGAATTTTGTAATTTAAAAAAATATTTTGACTTCTAAGTGATACTATATGTCTAAATGCTTTAGATATACAAAATAATGATAAACTTACCATGTTTTAAATTTTTAATCATTAAAACTTCAGGATCAATACTTGTTGGATGAACAAAGTAAGGTGGATTCCACGGTTCTGTTTGAGTTTCATCATCCCGAAATTTAGTTTGAGTAGCTTGTGACTGTGGTCCATATAATGTGTAATCTAGTGTACTTGAAAGCTTTATAGGAAGTGTAAGTGAACCTAACTCACCAATATCATAAGAACGTCTCGATAAAATTGGCCTAGATTAAAAAATAATATAATATCAAAAATGACAAAATTTTTCAGTATTATAAATATAATTTTATTTTCTAAAAATTGTTTTTAAAATATTAAAGAATTTGCTTTAATTTAAAGATACAGACAGAGAATAATATATTAAGTTCAATGAAAATTATCAGATATAAAATGTTATTGAATCAACTTATTTATTGTTTATGTAAAAATTTGTAACTGAAGTATAAAAGAGAATATAATACAGTTCCCTTCTCTTATTGAAATCTTGGATCAGAGATGTTTTAGATTTTATTGGGAGAAATAAAAAATAATACAAAAATGGATAAAAAAAACTTTCTAAACTTAACAGCTATAAGTACTGTACTGCTTGAATGATTCATCTGATATAAAAGTCTTCCAAATGTTCTTAAATCTATATAATCGATCTTAAAAAAATATTGAGTCTTTTAAAAGGATAGAAAACTAACTGTCCACAAAAAACCTTTATCACTGATAAATGTTTTTTGTGGACAGTTATTACTCAACACAGTGTTACAGTTGGAAGATGTTTGTGGATGGAAAACTTTTTAAAGACTTATTCTGACCACAGACCCATATTGGCAACAAATTTGAATGACAAAATTTGAGGACTCATTGTTTAGCAGTGCAGCAAAATATAGAATAAATGTCTGACATGACATTAAATTAATACCTGTTTAAAAATTTGGCCAACTTTTTCTTCATTTTGTTAATCAATCCCTGGCTTGATTTTGAAACTTTTAAAATTTATATTTAACCTTAGTATTTTAACATTTTTATATCACCATACTAATTCCTCACTTATATATCATCTTCATTCAACATTTCAATTATTTTTGTGTTTTCCAACTTAATGTATTCTCTACTCTAAATTGTATATTTTATTATTTATTATTAAATTTATTTATTAATATTAATGAGAGTCAGTTATCCAGTTTATTAAAATATTGGAAAAGAAACATTAATATTCATTACATCTTAATTGAAAAACTTATTTAAAAAACTTACTGTTGAATATATTTCCATCTATCTGCACCTGGAATTAAAGTAGACATCTGTTTTTCTTTAACACAAGAAACCATTTTATCCTGTAACATTTCATATTTGTCCAAATTAATATCAAATTAATTAGACGAAACATTAAAAGCACTTAAATCACCAAATATAATAAAATATTAAAAGTTTTTTTATTGACTCTTAATATGTGAAATTTATAATGTTATAAACAAATTTCTAAAAAAATGAGAAAAAGATTTTCATAAAATAAAACCTATTAATTAATTTATTTCTAGAGTTTTAAAAAGGGATATGTTAAGGCTGTTATACACGGTAAGGAAATCCTTTGAGGATTAACTGTGATTTTTTTTTTCTATCTATCCATTTTTAAATAAAAATAATTCTTTATACGTTGGGAGATATTTTGATAAGTTTTGTAAATTACTATGTTCGATCCAGCCAGTTATATCCGAGTTTTTTTCGTCTGTTAAGCACATCCTTTGAGGATTTCCTTACCGTGTATATAGGTTATTCTATATCCAAAGAAAATATTTTTTCTCAAAACTTAAAAAAAAATAAGGAGAATGATTTTATGCAAAATAAAACTGGTACACCAAGCCAGTGGCACACTCAGAATTTAATCTTGGAGGAGTGAAGATGAACAGATAAGTGTTCTTAATGCAAATTCAATAAAATTCCTAACTTATGTGACTGCTAATTCATTAGTATAGAAATAGAAGATACAACACAACATAAAATAATGAATTAGGAAAAGATTTTTGGATAATTGTCTAGTGATTGTTATTATTTTGCAGGATGTCAAGACTTCTTAGCCCCCCTCTAAATGCATCACTGTACTGAGCTATTAAATCTATTTAGTTTGGTACAACAATTATAAAAAGGTTGTCAACCTCTGCCTAGCATTTTCAGGCAGAGGTTGACACTCATCATGATTTAGCAAGAGAAATAAATTGAGATGACAGTTAGTTATGATGAGACATTTTCCCTCAATTCTTATATCTTGTTAATTCCCAATGACAGACATATGGCCCAAATGCAAAAATTTATAAAAATGTTTTTATTCACAGAAAAGCAATGTAAATTAGATCCAAGAAGTTTCTTTAACAAATTTTATTTTAATATTTTTAAAATTAATCACAAAAAATTCTGAATTTCTTTAATGAGTTGATAAATATTTTGCTAACTGAAGAAAATAATATTGTAATCTACAATAATAATTTATTAATATTGTAATTTACTAATAAAATTAATCAATGGAACTATGTGTAAGAAAAACCATGAATTAAATATATTTAAAATTATATTTTATATTGATACTTATTAAATGAATCTTCAGCCTTAATTCATAATATATTAATTATGATTTTACTGATGTAGAATATGGCAATATGTAAGAACTCATCAAAAATTATGAAAATTAAATATAATAATTTAAATAAATTAGTTTACGCATGATTTATACCAAAGAAATTCTATTGTTGAACTTCTGATTTGAAATTATTTCTAATTTTTTTCACAAATTTATTTGTAAATATCTTCCACCTAACAAATTCAAAACAGTTGTCATGGTAATAAATATAAACAAAAAGAATTGAGTGAATTTTATTCAAAACGCATTTTCGTATTATTTTAATTAATTATGAAAATTATTTCCAAATCGTTGAACATTTTAAAAGTATTTAATATAATTTGGAAATTATTAATTCCTATTATATTTTGAGACTTATTAAATATTTTTAAATGCTGTGTTACTAGTTATTCGTTTGTTTTTATTACAGACTAATAACAAGTGACACAACATTTCATCATGGGCGTAGCGAGGGGGGAGCCTAGGTGGGCACGGCCCCCTCCAGTGAACCTGGTGCCCCCCCAGAATATCACAGCCGAAAAAGTGTCGAGCCGATTTGCAAAAAGAAAGAAAAACTTAACGCTAAAAATAATAATAAATATATAATAATAATAACAATGAAATATATATATAATAATAATAATGAAATAAATCAATTTTGTGTCAGGTTGGCCTCTATTAGGCCCCCCCATAACAAAACTCTGGCTACGCCCATGCATTTCATCCAATAAAATTGGCCCTTAAGACAAAATTTCATCGTAAGGCAGATCATGAAATCCAATAAAATTGGACTTCTTTATTTACCTTACAAGTCATGGTAGCAGTCATGCACTACATTCGCTGTAGGAGCGACTCGTATTTTTTTTAAAACTCTTTCCGCCCTATGGGTACTAAGAGGGCCTCTTTTTGCAAGGCCATTATGAGTTCGGTCAGGCTCAAAATGGAGCTACCGGGTGGTGAGGGACTGGGCCCAACATATCCGAACGGACCACCCCCGAAAAATTCCTGGTGATTTTTCGACCTGACTGGATTCGATCCCGGATCCCCCAGATCAGTAAGCTGCTACCTTGACCGCTCGGCCATCTGGCGATCGAAGCATTATTCTTACGTTTTGGAGGACTCGAGATCGAATCAGAGCGGCAAATATAATTTGTTCATCATCTAACGATTCAAAAAAAAGCAATAGATGTGATATCGACTACCGCCAATACTTTGACCATTTTTCTGCTAAATCTTTCAGAATTTTATTTGATTTTTCAAATCTACCGTGCGATGTTACATATGCTGCCATAAGGCATATATAGTAGACGAATCAACCTAAATTCGATCTTTAATAACGTACTTAAAAGGTTTATCATCCTGAATGCTTCAAAATTAGTTTACACGACCTTTTGGTCGTGTAAACTAATTTAAATGCACAGTGCGTTCTAGAACATCCCTTAGTTTTGATAGCAAACCGAACGGTAACGTGGTAGAAAACTATAGTCGTGTTTAGTGACGCAGATATCTAAGTATGCTTGAAAAGATATGCTTATTGCAGTGGTTCCCAACCTTTTTTCATTAGCGTACCCCGTGACATGCCATATCTGTAGATTGTACCCCGTGACATGTCATATCTCTAGATTGTACCCCTCATTTAAGAAATTTAGTGAGTAACCGTATTGTTAATTTTACATATTGTAACTTTAAATTAAAGAAAAAAAACCTAAAAGAAAAAATGTATAATAAAGTTGTGATTGTTGCAAGGAACATTTTTTATCTAATAATTTTTTAATACTATTAGTTTGTGATACATAATATATTATTTTTCTGCCATAATAACTAACTTTTTTCTGTACCCCTAAACAACCTATCGCGTACCCCTAGGGGTACGCGTACCACAGGTTGGGAATCGCTGGCTTATTGGATGGCTATCTGAATAAATTTGACTCCGTCCACTTTCAGATATCTGACTGTTTCTAAGACAAAAAACTTGTCCATCTTAACCATATAAAAATGGCTATCTCCGTTGTAAAAAATATATTTGAATTTCAAAGGCACCGAATATCAATGATTTTCACTGAAGTTTTTAAGTTATGGCAACGCAACACTTGGACGATCTGTCTAGGGGGAATACTTCCGGAAGGTCTTTTGAAGGGTAACTGGCCCCTGTTCAGGCGTTACAGACGTAGAGAAAACTAGGAAAACTTCCACGTGGCCAGCCCGTCTGAGCGAGGCGCGAACCCACGACCGAATTCCCAGTGTTCAGGATACGAGGACCGCTTGGCCATTGGTGGGCCTTTTCAGTGAAGATGTTCAATTTAATATTATTAAATTTTATGCATTATTGATCAAATAATTTCTGCACAGTTATTATTAAAGGTCGGATTTTGGAGCAAGAAAAAAAGCGAAAAAATGGCAATAATACATTTTGTAATTTTTCAATTGAAAATATATACAGAAATATAACATGCGGAAAAAAATGCTACACCAGCAATAAATTTCCCATAAAACATATTTTTTGCATAAAATTTGCACTGAAATGGTTAATAATAAAAAAATTGAGCCAGGGATTGAGTTTGGGCCGGCCCTAAGTGAATTTTTTTTATTAGATAGTTAAAAACTTTTAAATAAGTTTTATTGCGATTTTATTAGTATTTTTAATTTTTACATGATATATTATTTGCATACATATTTTCGTATAACAAGTCGATTGATCAATAATTCCAAAATTAACCTGGCGCACTCAGGATTTAATCTTGGGGGAACCGAGTTGACTGTATAAAAATTTTTGTAATGCGAATTTAATAGAATTCCCACCTTATGTGTCTACCAATTCATAACTACTCGTAGTATAGAAATAGAAGACACGACACAATATAAATAAATGAAAATGAATTCTAATTAGAAAAGCATTTTTGGAAAATTTTCTAGTTTTTTTTTCTTTTTCTTTAGAGGGTGCCAGGGACCCATGGCGCTTTCTCTGGGTGCTCCATTGATATGTTATAAAATAAAAGATAAGGTAAATCCTGAAACGGCCATAATACAGATTGTTCTAAATATCTTAAATTAAACGAGGAATGTGCGGTACTTGGTTGGGGCTCTGGAAGCTTTATAAAACTAAAGAACTCATTTCTGATAATGTATAGTGACCTTGTCACAAGTTCATCAATCTGTTTCCTTCACTAACAAGCCCATAAAAGATTCTCGAAAGGAGCTGTACAGTACAACAAATACACTGTAAATTTCTCAATAATCTAGTTGAACCTAATTCGGACAAATTACAATGGTCTTTACGCCATTAGAATATTTTTCATCACTAATAAATTTATATATTTCACTCTGTATTAGATAAAAGTATTACCATTTTATATGTTTTTTTGATAGACTGGTAGCCACGGCTCATACTTTTGTTTTTCTAACTCTTTCCGCCCTGTGGACATTAAGACGGCCTCTTTTAACAAGCCCATTATGGGTTCGGCCAGGCCCACAATGGGGCTGCCGGGTGGTGAGGGACTGGGCCCAACATATCCGAACGGACCACCCCCGAAAAATTTCTGGAGATTTTTCGACCCGTTCGGATTCGAACCCGGATCCCCCAGAGCGGTAGGCTGCCACCTTGACCGCTCGGCTCATACTGGAATATTCCATCAGCGTTTGCCTGAACCAACATCATAAGCTTTCTTTGCCCGCGATAATTAAAAAGGTCAATCACGTGGGACCGAAATGTAATAGTCCTCAAAATTCAACTATGATTTTGCTTATCCAACTGTGTTAAAGCTGCTTTATCAGACAACACACCTGTTATAGTTAATTGTCGCATATCAAGCAACTTTTCAGTCATACAAGTTTTTAAGACTTTTTTAAAAAAAAAAATTTTATAAGTTTATTAACTACCGACATTTTTGGCAGATCATTAAATAAATGAACATTTTTTTCATTATAATAACTGAAATTTATACTTGCATCTATTTCTTTGGTGTGTAAACAGTATTTTGCATTCAATAATATTTCGTGATTAGACCCAAATATATAAAGACGAACTTGATGACGAACTTGGCAGTCCTCATTATGAACATTGTCAAACCTATGATAGATATGATTAAAAAGCTCTTTAGTGCCCATGCAGTAGAGTAAAAATGGAAAACTATATAAAGCTATATATATACTGTATAGTATTAAACTTACTATATTATTACATTCGAAAATATTGTGATACTGAAAAAACATTTTGCTTTACATCATGGGTTAGGCGGTCGGGTGGTGAGGGATGGGACCCTACATATTCGGACGGACCACCCCCGAAAAATTCCTGGATTTTTCGACCCGTCCGGATTCGATCCCGGGTCCACGGCAGCGATGCAAAATAACTTTTGCTGAATACTATAGTATAATTACAATTATGTGTATATTGTTTATATATATATATTTAGGTATATATAAAACGAATAAAGTAAAAACGCAATTTGGAAGCGTTCTCTACAAAATTAATTTGGCGGGTTTTTGGCTATAATAGGAAGAAGACAAAACACGATGGTAACGTGAAAAATTGGCAGTATGTAATTGCACAGGACGAAAGAGAGTAAGACTTTTTTATTTTTAATACAAATTTACGAAAATTAACGCGTAAAATTATATATATATAATATANTATAATATATAAATATATTACAGTAAACATTATAATTTTCGTTATTAAATGATATAAATTTAAAGAAAAAAAAATCAAAATTTTACCTAAGCAAGATTGGCTTGTGTTGATGTTGCCAACCAATTAGACGGGACTCAACACGTGGAATTTTGACATTTAAAAATGTCATAAATTTAAATTTATTTAAGTATCGCAATTAAAAAAATTTTTTTTTATTATTTTTAGTATCAAGTGATAAAAAGTAGAGAAATGATAAACGATTTTTTCGACGGTCTCCCTACTGAAAATGGAACAGATGAACTTGATACCGATATCATGTTTCCACAAGATAATAGTGATATAGACAGCAGCAGTACACCCACATTTTACCAAAAGCAGAGAGACATGAATAAAAATTTCAAAATCGATAAAGCTACTAATGAAAAGTATCGCAAGAAATGTCGAAAGATGAAAAGAGTAATGAAAGCTTTAATTTTTGTAAGTAAATTTTCATTTTTATAACCAATTTTATACATATTTTAATTAAAAAGAGAAAAAAGTACATAGATAATGCACACAATATTTGATAGAATAGTTTTTATTTAAGTAATTTGTATATGCTTTAAACAATACACACAACAGAATAGTGTTTTGTCTAAAACTTATTGAAAAATTACAAATTAGAATAATCAATGATGTAAAAATTTAATACTTTAAGGTTTTAAAAATGTTAGTTTTTTTAATATAATTCTTAAATTAATATGAGTTTCAGTTGTAAAACTGTTTTATAATAAAATAAATTGTTAGATTATCTTGTTTACAATTTTTAATATGTTTTTCTGTATCAATCATCTAAACTGTTTTCCTCGTAATTATTTTTGAACATTTGTCTATTGATATTCTTGATGTACAACTTAAGTGAAATAAACTAAACTTGCATATTCATAAAAATGAATTCAAATTTACAAATAATGACAGATATTTGTTGCTAACTTTAAATTTTCAAGCATTTCAGTTTAACTCAACTATTATTTCGTAACTGAATATTCAAATTTAAAAGTATTTAATTACGAGAAAATGTAAGCATTATTATATTTTCGTTTAAAATACAGTGTGTCATACTTAAAATTGACCCAATTGAGATGATGAAACATTAGTGATGTAAATTTTATAGGTGTTATTTAAAAGGGAAAGTGTATGAGACTAATTCTAGAACTATAAACAAACACTGAAGGAAGCATTCTCAGATGCATTGAAGCTATTGACATCAGTACATATTTTATGTAAGGTCATTCTGAACATGATTATGCATACACAAAAGGTGCATAGATATACAAGGACACTACTTTCAGCATCTTTTGTAAGTTTCTGTATGTTTAATAATGTTAAAATAAAGTTTTTAATTGTCTTTTGTTTAAATTCATTTATATCATTTCCAGTGAGTTTAGTGATTTTATGTGGAACACTATAATACTGTTACAGAATTCAAATGAAAACTATTTTATATTTATTTATTTAAAAAAATTTAAAGTATGTATAAACATAGTTAAAGATTTTTATACTACTATTGCATTTGAATTAGTTAAGTTTGTAAATTTTCTGGAATTAAGAAGTACTTAACATTGCTAATATTTGCCAGAAAGACTACGTATAAAATAATTTGAAAGAAAGGCATGAACAGGCATTTTAAAAAAAATTTTTAAATGTAATGATTCTGCAATAAAAAATATATATAATAAAAATAAGTTTAATGGGGAATTGTACTTCATTATTTGGAATTTTAAACTAATACAGTGGGTGATCGGTTAACGAACAGATTGGACAATGAACAAATCGGATAACGAACACTTTCGCGAAAGATTTTTATGTTCGGACAACGAACACATGATCGGATAACGAACATCCCACAGAACAAACAAGAAGAAGCGACGTAAAATAACGAATACCAATTGGACTTTCCTTGTCTTCGGGCAACAATTTGAAACTTTTTGGAGTGTGGGAGACGTCGACATCGATGCTCAAGCCGGTATATATTGATCGGATAGTATTCCTCCGAACTTTAAAACTCTCCCTTATAATTCCAGCCTATTATTTTTATGACAAAATAATTCTTTTATGTATTCGCGAGACTGTCGGGTAGGCACTCGTTAAGTTTTGCGTCTGTTTTTTTTTGTAAGGTGAGAGTATAATAGCAAAGATAAAGAGTGGGCAGAAGATACTTAATGTTGCTGGGCAGTTTGGCGTGAACAGGTCTACAGTAGGCCACAGTTCATTTTTTTAAGAAAAATGCTGTATAATCAAGAAGACTCAAGCAGCTAAAGGAGTAACAAAAATCACATATGAGAAATAAAGAACATTGAAGAGTTCATAATGGAACCTGAAACAGATCTGACGACAGAAGAACGCCAAGAACTCTTGAATGAAGAACACCAAGAAACTCGGCGAGATATGTTTTCTTCTGAAAAAGAGGATTTATGCCGATATGTGCTATTAAAGATCTTGTAAAGAAGTGGGATGATGTCAGAACAACGGTCTTAAAATGGCATCCAAACCAGGTTGAGGCTTGGGGATTTCTACAATTGCAATGTTATTAATTACTTACGAAAAATCCTGAAGAAGAGACAAAAGCAATCGACATTAGACAGATTCTTTAACCCTTTCAAACCGAAAAAACATGACTTATTACTCATGTTTTTTCAGTTTAACGCAAGACTGTGTACGTATGTATTTTTATTATTACATATAAATAAACGTAGTAAAAAAGTATATATTTTTTTATTTTGGGGAGTCTCCAGAACGAATTAATTAAATTCTCATTAAAACCTATGGTAAATCGATAATCGGTTAACGAACAATTCGGATAGCGAACAAAGTCTTGGAACGGATTATGTTCATTAACCAATCACCCACTGTATATTATTACCAAATTATAAATAGAATTTAGTAGTTTACATTAAAATTAAATAATTCAATATTATATAGGTAATATAAAAACAATTAGTCCTAATATAGTTTTAAGAACAACTAATATTCTACATTTTCAAACTCCACACAATACTATTTTACATTTGAATTTTTAAAATTCATATACTAGGAGAATCCAACTTTTGAATTATCTATTTTTGGAAATTAAATTGTTTTTCAGCAGATTTTTTAGTATTTGGTATATATTCTTTGATGATAATATATTTTCTCTTCACCTTTCTTACTACCTTTTTTAATCATTTTCAAATTTTTTTGCTAAAGGTAAACTTGTATGTGTTTCATGCTTAGATATCATTAAAACACAACAAATTCTGTTATCTACAGTCAATTGTCAATACATTTTTTAAGATTTCTGAAATACTATCTACAAATTATCCAAGTTTATTCATAAAAAATTCTAATTACAGTAACTAATACGTATTTAACAAAAATTTAATTACATAAATTGACTTCACTTCTCTCTCTCATACTACTTTCATCAGTTATGCTTATATAAATATAACCTACATTCATTTAATGCAGATACACTACTGCTAATAACTTAGCATAACTTGTAAGCAGTTATTCTCCTTCCTACCTCAAACATGATTTCTAAATATTAGTAACATTAAAATAGGCTTAAAATATAGTTTCATCATATTGTTATAAACAAAGATAATATTTTAAATTGTTCCTTTTTATCCATCTATCATAAAAATATAAATAATGCAATAAATATATAAAGTATTTGTATTATGCAGAATTGATGGGTTACATTAATCATCCTGAAAGTTATACTTGGATAAATTGGCTTAATGTATATAATTATCAATAATATAATTAATAAATTTAAATAGTAGTTTCAAATTAATTAACTGTATGAGAGCATTGATTTTTGTACAGAACATTTTATTTTAGTTACTGATATTTTATTTTTATAAATAAGCTTAAATGAATTATAATAATACACAATATTTTAAAATATTTTTTAAAGTCAGTCTTTACAATTTTTAATAATAGGAAAATGCTGCTCTCTGTGATGAAGTTGCACAGTTACAGGAGAAAATATTAATTGGAAAAGAGGAAAGAAGGTTAGTGTTTTTTGTTTTTGTGGTGATGAAAAATTGAACAGATATCAACAGATGTTTTTTCTTGTAGGCTACTTCTTGTAGGATTGCTTATGAGAAAAGATTTATTAGTGCATTTTTCATCAAAATGTAAACTTGTTTTTAAAGTATATTACATTCTTATAATTAAGTGTATAACAAAGATTAATTTTTACTATTTTAATTTTACTGTTATAGAACAAAATTTAATGAAATATAAAAAATTGAGATAAGCTAAGTAGTTTTTACAATGAAGTAATTTTGATAGTATTGTTTCTTTAGCATTAAAGAGACAATCATACAAATCATGATTTTTAATACAAGATGATTATGAAGTTACTGATTGTTATACATATGTACTGTACAGTATATTGTTATTAAAAACTTTATTACATATTTCTTCTATTTTTGAGCAATTAAAACTTACCTAAAGAAGGAGCTGGGAATCATAAATATTTAACGATTTTTAAATTTAGAGTTTGAAAACTTTACAATCACTCTGTGGTTATTTAAAGTAACTTTGCTGGGAAAACTTTAAATATTTATTTATCTGATAAATTTCAGTTATAATTATACATTTTTCACTTCTTTCTGCCATGTGGGCAGTAAGAGGGCCTTTTTTATCAAGCCCATTATGGGTTTGACTGGACCCACAATGGGAGTGATCAGGTGATGAGGAATGGGAACAATATACAGTGAAACCTCTATTAACAGACACTCCTGAATAGCAGGCACTTTTACTTAATGGACATTTTTACAGTCTCCAGACCTTTCAAATAAGACATCTATTATATTTACCTCTAAATAGCAGACACACTAAATAATGGATGCAGTCGTTCATAACCTACTTTACAAAAACACAGAGTCCTACCTTCAATATTCTGAAGTAATTAATTATGTATGAAATATTTTAAAACTAAAACAAAGAATCAGTTTAAATATACTTTCAGAGGAAGAATTTTGACCATAGGTGTCAAATAAAGACTAGCTAAAAATAGGAATAGGGGAGGAGGGCATGTTATTAAAAGCTGAACAATATTCTTTATCTGTTAGAGGAGACTAATCTGGTTAAGTTGTCAATCACCATTTATTGTCATACATGTTAATGTTATTAAACTTCTCTTTTATTGTTGGAATTATGGTACCAAGAAACCATGAACTTTTCCGAAGTTATGCATTCATTTGACAAGAACTGTAGTACAGTAGTAACAAAAGAGAAACAGTTTTAAGGTTAAGACAACAGCATTTATTTGGTGAAAGTTCAAAGATTGTGTTATGAAGGTGATTTGCTGACCACTTTAAAGTGTAGGAAGATATTTGGTTTTCTCACATTTATGACATCATTTATGATCTTAACAACTTTGTAGTGGCTAAAGTAATTTTTAAATCTGTAATATACTGTGTGTTGAGATTTAAATTGTAATTAAACATTAAATTTAACTGTGTATGTGCCAAGGTTGCAACACAGGTTGAAAGGGTTGTGGTGTGAAATAAACAGTCATGTTGTATCTCCAGGGAGCCAGAGAGATGTACAAGTGTTCAGTTGGTGTTTAATAAAGAGTTATCCATTTTATCTGGTCAGTTGAGTTATTTATAATACAAAATCATTTATTGAAAAAAGCAAATATTTTTCGAAAAATTATACCTACTTGATAACTACAAAGTAAACAAATCATTAAATCACTGATAAAAAGGCCCTCTTAATGCTCACAAAGCAGAAAGAATAAAACAGTAATACTAGATTCTAGAATATTGGTTTAATAAAGTTATTTAATGTAAAAACATAACATGTGTTATATTTGAATACATTTAAAAACTATTTCTTCAGCATTTCAAATTTAAATTTGCATAAATTATAATAAAATATCAAAATAAAAGCAAATTACTTTTGGTTGACGAGATCTTTCCAGTGCNTTATGCTGTGGATCTCTAATTTCAAGCACTTAGCCAGTGCTGAGTTAAAGATGGACTTAACTACTGAAATATTTGTGTATTTATTATTTAATACTTATTACTAATTTTATTATTTTTATTCAAATTGTAAATACTTAAATTTTCAATTTGAGACATTGCAAAAATAGTTTCTAAATATATTTAAATAGGATATTCACTATTTTTTTAGATTCAAGTAATTTTTTGAACTGATATTTTAGAACAGTGGTGTTCAAACTTTTCAATTGGTAGACCAAATTTTGTCTAAGTTTAGATAGATAGGCCACAAATATTTAGTAAATTCCAAATATACAAAAATAGGCCTATATTTATTTCATTTACAAGTGATGTGTCAAATATGTTTGTGAGCTTGTCACAACATCACAAATAAATATACTTATGATATTGCCATGGACCAGATTTGGAGCCACTGTTCTAGAATATAGTAGTTTTTATTTAGAACATAATGATTACTAATTACATTAAAAGAAAATATTTGTTTGCAAATTACTTGCTAGAAATTAAAGGTTTAGTTTTTCAAATCAAAAACAGAGATGTTTTCAGTTTTTTTTCAGTTGTTTTAAATGTCTGAGACAAAAAAATAAAAAAATTCATTGTTTCTTTATTTTTTTCTTATACTTTTTAACATACATATCAAATATACAGATTTTTTTTAAATATAATTGTTTCTGAAATGATAGTATTAAATTTAAAATGGAAGTTATTATATATATGAATTTTTAAATGTTATTTCAAATATTTTTTCTTATTTGTAGATACTTTGTAAAAAAACTATTACATCTGCAAGCTCAACGAGAAAATGTAATGCAGAATCTTCCTAAATTAAATAGTGGCATGCTATCTAATCATACCTTCAATAATGTTATTACTCAGTCTGTAGCATTACCAGTTTCAGATACAGTTGATAGAGTTAAGAAGAAAGTTTCTTCCAAAAAGAAATCATCTAAAGATGCAGTTGGTAATATCAATGTATCAATCTTTAATTTGTAATATAAATTTATTGATATTTTTTTAATTTAAATGTCCAATTTGGAAAATTAAAAATATATTGTTTAATTGCAATTATATATTCATAGAAGAGAACTTGAAAGCAAAAACTGTGAGGAAAAAAGCATCAGTGGATAAAAAATATGTTCAGTTAATACCACTTGATTCAACTGGACGACCCATTTTTCCTATTAATCTTGGAGATTTAACATTACATAGCTTAGGAGAGGTGAGATAAATATGTTTTTTAATAAATATTAGAAAAACTTTGTTTACATCTGAAATTCATTTAGAAAAAAAAAAAAAAATATATATATATATAAAATAA